TAGTATGAAGGTTGGATTGTGGATGAAATAAGGATAGATAGTATGAAGCCAGATGTTTGAATGAAGTGGTGAAATATGGTGTCAAGATGAGGTTGTTAATGGGGAGTGGGGAATAATTGGTATTTGGAATGGTTGGTGGATTGAGGTGGGGTTGTGACATACATTCTACCAACACGTTAACGTACATTCTACCAACACGTTAAAATACATTATTCCATTATGTTAACATTGAAGGAGATAGCTGGTATGAAGGGCTAGTGGGTGGGAGTTTGATGGCAGAGGTCGTGTAGTTTTTGAGTTGGTTAAGATTTTTTTTCCCTAGAAATAAAATAAACTATACCAGAAACCAAGATGTAAAAAGATATAACAACTAGGACAGAAAATGAATGTATCTTATATACTTGAAGCCGAAAATAGAGACGCCTCTATCAGAAAGAGAGCCAATTTAAACCGAAATAAGCCCCTATTGAGAAACAGAGTACAACGGTCTCAGAAGCTTTCGCACACGTGTTAAAAAGGATTCAAACTCTGATGAATTTATGCCCGAAAGTATGACACTTAAAATTGTGATAGTCTTCCTCAGAGATTCACTACTGAAACCAACGTTGATGTGGTCCCCCCCACCCCCCCCCCCAAAAAAAAAAAACAAAAAAAAAAAACCTAACTCTTCCTAACACTGTAGTTCGTCGACCTGTCAGTGAGAAATGTCTTCTTAGGCTTAAGGACTCTTTCATTTGATGTGGCCCCCCCCCCCCCCCCCCCCAAAAAAAAAAACAAAAAAAAAAAACCTAACTCTTCCTAACACTGTAGTTCGTCGACCTGTCAGTGAGAAATGTCTTCTTAGGCTTAAGGACTCTTTCAAACTAATTTCAATTTATATGATGCCGGACTGGGTAACTAAGAGCAACTATAATACTTTCCCGTGCGGTGAGGTCAAAGGTAACTTAAGATAAATAGTGTTGCAAGAAAATTGCAGGGATGCTCAAGTGAAGATACAATCCATCCTTTGAGTTGCGTATTAATGATTTTCTTTAAATAGTTATGTGTTATTTTTCATCGAATCACTTACTGTGAATGCTTATTTTCTTATTTGTTTTACCATTAAAGGTGTCATTTGAAACTTATATTGTTAAAAAGAAAGAATTTTGATTAGAGATTAATGTAGTGTATTTGTATTTGTGTATACAATGTAAAAAACATTACGTCATTGAATTTATAGTCACCTACGCCTTCTTGTCCATTCTCTCACCCTCTTTAACCGTGCCTTAATTATGGACATGATGTGATATTCTTTCCATGGTATTCCAATGTAAATAAACAGTGTTAGATTCGTCAGTCCACCGAGTCTTTTCTACTTTAAGAATAAACAATATTATGTTTTTACCCCCCAAAAAAATAAAATAAGTATAAGAAAAAGTTTAAACTAGCCCGGAAGGATATCTTTTAAACAGAAACTTTTACCAGCGAAAATAACGAGTTATAACGAAACTAAACAAATCAACCAGATTTTGAAGTTGTTTGATTTTCTTTTACATATATTGTATATTTAAGATGGCAATGCAATGCTACTTTCGACTAACATTAGTTACCTATTTCAATTCAAGAACCATAAAAATAACCAACACGTCCACATACAATCTACCAACATGGTGACATATAGTCTACCGATAAACTTTAACATGTTTACAATCAGGGCTCAATGACTGACGCATTAGTATCCTTCAGTGTTTCAAGGAAATTTTATAAACAAGGATGGACACTAACTAATTATAAAAGGCCGATTGGGTATCATGAGATCATTACTTTAAACGAGCTAAGCTTCTTATATATATATATATATATAT